GCGTGTCTACAGGATGGTCACGGTGCAGGGGACAGAGGCCCCTTAGGATTTTTCATGCTTTCCCACAGCGAGGCCTCCAGCTGGAGCCCCCGGTTCTCAGCCCCCGGCAGCTGTTCCCCCAGAGCGGGGTGGGGGGGCAGGCCCGGTGCCAGGTGTCCCGGGCGCCCCCTCCCCGCGGCGAGTCTGACTCAGGGAGTGCCGCCCTCGGGGCCCCCTCACTCAGCCCCGCGGATTGGCCCAGACACACACTAACCAGAGGAGCACGTGCCGTTTCGTGACACCCGGGAGTCAGTCCGTCCGTCCTGCTGCCGAAGCTCGTCCGCCCCGGGCCCACGGCGTGGCCTTTCCTCCTCCTTCGCCAGTGACCTCCCCCCCCCACCCCAGGCACAGGGGACAGTGCTAGGAGGTCCCACGGACAAAAGGACAAGGGAGGCCTGGTGGCCCCATGAGCTGGGACGCCGCAGACGGAGGGCAAGGCGGGCAGCAGCCCCCGGGCCTGAGGTCCACAGCTGCCGCTGCCCGCTCCGTCCGTCCGTCCGGGAGCCCGCCCCCTGGCCTGCAGGGGGGGGAACAGAGACCGGAACGCCCCCCTTGTGTGCGGAAACGATGTGAACTCCCTGGAACCGGCAGCCCGTCAGCAGCCCTTACCCGACTGGGTAGGTCACCTGCTTCACCGCGCAAACTATCTCTGTGAAACAGTGGTGGCCACGTTCAGAAGCATCGACCTAAACCGTTCGCAAAACCGTTTCGGGGGGCTGGCGTCTCATCGGCGGGAACAGCCGCATAGAAACGAGGGCCATCTCCAACGATGCCGGTGTCCTCCCGACACCAGGGCAGGAGGACACTGACGTGGGGGGACAAGCGGAGCGACTGCCTACAGATTTCTTGAAGAAAACGTGTCCCGTGACAATGCATGTCCCTGTGCCAGGTGACGGGTGTGTGAGATCAAACACGAGAGGACGGCACTCCTGGCCCAGTGGCTCAGCTGCTCGGAGCGTCTCCCTGCACAGCAGAAGGGTGTGGGTTCGAGCCCTGGTTGGGGTGCATGCAGAAGGTGATCCATCAATGTCTCTCCCCCCACCTTTCTCTCTCTCTTTCGCTCCCCCCTTCCTCCCTCTCTAAAATTAATAAACATATCCTCGAGTGAGGATTAAAAAAGTGAAAGAACTACTCTGGAAAAAGAAAGAAAAACCCCAGAAAACAGAAAACAAAACACACACACACACACACACACACACACACACACACACAGAAGTCCCAGGGAGAGACTTGGGGAATGGTATTCATTTCCACAGACTGATCCCAAATCGCCTCGGAGGGATGATGTCACCGTCCAGCTCCCGCGGACACTGCCAAAAAGTGGGAGGAATCCAGATGTCGGGGCTCCCAACACAAAACCCGCAGCTGCATGCAATCAGCAGGCCCAGTCTCCTCCGAGGGCCGGGAGCCCTGTCCCCTCCTCCATGGGGGGGACGAGCGGACAGGGGGAGGTCGCCCCGGCCCCTGTCCACCCAGGGGATGCGTTCAAGCCATCGGTGCTGGCGAACAGCAGCGGGGAAACTTCTGCTGGGGAGGGTTCGGCTCTGCTCCACGGTGCTGAGGGGGCCCCCGAAGCAACCACAGGCTGGAGGCATGAGCGTGGATGCGTTCCAATAAAACTTTATTTACAAAAGCGGGCGGGGGCCCGACGGGGCACACGGGCGATGCCGTGCCAGCTCCTGCCCTGCAGAAGCTGACCCCTGGCCTGAAGGCCCGGGATCCGGACCCGAAATGGAGCCCCAGGGCCGGGACCGAGCTTATGAGCCTCCCCCCACCCCACGACAGGACGGGACAGGGGACACAAGGCTCCGCTCCGTGGGAATGCTCTGTCCTCGCCCCCATCTGGACCCCGCGTCCCCGGAGGGCCGGGTCCCCAGGGCAGCTTCTACGACGCCTCACGTCCGAAAGAAGCACGTGTGTTTCCAATTCAGAAATCGGCGGGGTGGGGGGGGGGATGAGAAAAGATAAAGTGTTGAAATGAGGGTTTGGAAACCCCGCCGGCGTCTCCCGGACCGGGATGAGACCGCGCACGCGAGAGCCTCCTCTCCCAAGGGCAGCTCCGCATTCTGTTCGGGTCGCTCGGACCTGAACTCATCTCGGCTTCCAGTTTTTGCATTTTTCTGAGGGATAATGAATGTGGCTTTTCTTCACCACAGCCCTGGTAATAGGCACGCCTAATCCCTTCTTCAAAACCCCGGCGGCTCCCTGTGGCTGGGGGTTCAGAATGTCTCGGGCTGCAGGGAGATGAGGCAGGGTCCCGGCGGCCCCGGCCTCCCGCCCCACCAGGGCCAGCTCTGGGCAGTGGAGTTGGACTCTGCCCCGACATGAGCAATGGAAAAAACCGCTCAGTCCTGAGCCTTTCGGATTTTAAAATTGCAGACAACGGCTGTAGGCCTCTATTTATAACTCCCCTCCCCCCGCTCCCCAAGATCTCTCATTTCTACTTGACTGAAACCCAAACTCCTCCCAGGCCGGGCAGGCCGGGCCTCTCCTCCCGGGCCCTGCACGGAGCCCTGCCCGGTCCTGCCCGGGCCCCACCCGGCCCCGGGCACTCCCGCGGGGAGGCCTCCGGACCTCCTGGCCCGACTCAGCCCCTCTCGCCCGCAGAAGCCCCGTTTCCCTGGCTTCGGATCCGTGAGCGTTCTTCTCGTGACGGCACCCGCCAGTTGTCCCAGGCTGGCCTCCCTCCCCGAGACACATGAGCCTCAGGAATCTCTCTGCTCCGCAGAGCGGCCCCTCCGGCCCCGAGACCACGTCTGGCACCTGGTGGTGTTCACTCAGTGGCTGAGGGACAGGAGGGGGGGACAGCTCGGGCTGGGCGTCTGCAGAGCGGCGGGCCCCGGGCTGGGCACGTCCCCCAATCCGCATGTGACAGGACGCTGTGGACCCCGTGCCTCCCCGGGGAAACCGAGGGCCACGGCCCCCCGAGGCCACAGGACAATGACCCCATCACACGGGCCCGTTCTCAGTGTAAAAGACGACGTGGCTGGTCCCCTACTCCCCAGCGCCCACCCCCGCCCCAAGGCCGTCTCTGCCGTGTCGCCGAAGCAGAGAGTGGGAGGTCTCTGCAAACACCCACCCGGGTGCTCCTGTGTCCATGAGAAACCCCGCAGGGCAGCGGCCCCCAGGCCGGGCCCCATGTCCAATCCAAGCCGCAGCTGCTAGAGATCGGCCAGGATCAGAAAACCGTTTGTACGGGGGGGAAATCTGGAGAAGAAATTCTTCTCTCTAAAAACTTGGAGACAAATCTCGCTGCTCTAAGTGCCGATTGCTCAAGACTGGACCTCGCTGTAAATCATCCCATTTTCTGAGAAACTCTGGAGCTGTCATCTAAGTTTCCAGGAACAGGGGGAGGCGCTGCCAAGGCCGGCTGCGGGGTTTTTACAAGAGCGAGACAGTGTCTTCAGGAGCCATGGACCGGCATGACCGAGCACTTCCCCCGGTGGCGGGGGGCCTCTGGGAACGGCCACCATGTGTCCGTGGCTGCCCGCCTCCTGAAGAGCAGCCGTGAGCAACTGGGGCGGCAGGGACGGGCAGCTGACACGTCCGTCAAGAGGCCGCTGGCGTGAGCGGGTGCTGCTGCTGTCTCGGTGCGGACCGGCAGGAAACCGGACGCCAGAGGGAGGGAGGGGGCTCAGACGGCCCCTGTCGTCACCCTTCCCTGAAGGCCAGCTCTGTACCCGCTGAAGAAGACACTACCAACTTTCAGACCGGCTCCCTCGGGGGAGGTTTTCCAGCGGGGGGCGGGGGGGGGTGGAGCGGGGGGATCTCACGTGGGCCTGCACGTGGGCAGAAGCCACGTAGCCGCACGAGGACTGGACCCAGGGCCCGTGGGTGCAGCGTGGAGCTGGACTCAGGCAGCGGGGCGAGACGACCCCGGCCCCTTTAAGGACCGGGGCCCGGTCCCGCGGGAGGCAGAGGGCCGAGCCGGGGCAGGGCTCACCCACCACGCTGGCCCGTGAGTCACCCGCACACGTCACGGGTCCGCTAAGGTTCTAGTCCTCTTTGCTGGCGTGAGACCCGCTCTGGCTGCGTGTCAAAGGCAGTGATTACAATGAACAGTGTTCCTAATCTTCAGCCTTTCTTCGAAGGTTTGTTTCACTTTGAGACCAAATAAATTACAAAGACGTCTGCCTGCCGCCGTGATGATCCAGGGAGCACTCGTCACGGCCGCCGCGGACGCCTCCCAGCCCGGGGGCGGGGGGGGGGGACGGGCAGCTCCGGTTCCGGGGCCCGGGGCAGCGGGGGCATGGGCAGGGCAGAGGGCAGGGCTCCACGGGGGCTCCCTCTGGACCGGGGGGGGGCCGAGGGGGCGGGGGCGCGACCTCTCGGCGGTCGAACACCGAGGAGTCCGAGCCGGAAGCCCCAGGCACCAACCGTCCCGTGACGTGCAGCCCGCTGCACCACGCTGCAAAAGTCAAGCTACAGGGGCTTCGGGGGGCGGGGAAGGAAATGCAGAGGCCAGTCCCGCCCAGCAGTCCACGAGGAAGGGCAAAGGGGCAGAGATGAACTTGCCCCCCCAAACCCCACCCTGGTACTCTCGGGCTGGAGGAGGGCACCGCTCTGGAAGGAGGACCCCACCCACAAAAAGCAGGTGGCACCTGGGCCATAAACCACCGGCTCGGAAGCCCTTTCCTCGCCCACGACCTTGCCCTTGGGTGCATTCACGTGTCCCCTCGAGCACCCTGATACCCGCTGTCACCCCAACGGGTCGGGAGGAGTTTTAGGGCCCGGCAGGTGATGAACACGGCAGGCTGCGTGTGCCGCCGCGAGAACCGGACAGGCGTGGAGGTCGGGGTCTGAGGAACGTGAGGACGAGATGCCCCGGAGCGGAGCGAGGGCCGCAGGCCACGCGCCGGGTCTCCCGCCCCCCCGGGCGGGCTCGCCAGGGACCGGGGCCAAGGTGGCGAACGCGCCTGCGCCGCGTGCGGCCGGGGTCGGAGGTCCGCGCTCACCCATACCTGGGAGTACGGATGGTGCGGGCGGGGGCCTGGGCGGCCGGCCAAAGCCATGGGCTCCTCCTTGCCTTCTTCGCTTACACCTACGACGGCGCGGCCGCACCTGGAACAGAGAAGGACCGTGAGAAGCCGCGCCACACAGGACGCGCCCGACGCTCGGCCCTGAGACGCCCGCCGCGGGCCGGGCCGGCCCTGCTCCCCTGCTCCCCTGCTGTGGGCCGAGGGGCCGGCTTTCCTCGTGGCCGACCGCAACCCCGCCGGACACCCGGTGTGCTCGTCACAGGGCCCGCGGGGGGCGGGGGGTCGGGGAGCATGACGGCGGCCCCCTGAGAGGAGCTCACACGCCCTCGGCACCCCCCCCCCCACCCCGCTGCCACGGGACCACGTCTCAGGACGCTCATTGGCACCCTCAAGACTGTGTCAGGCTTGGGAAGTAAGGCCTCAGCCTCCTTCCAAAGACGCGCCGGGCGGAGAAGTGTGCGCCGTGGGTGGGAGTCCCCCGGGGGCTGTCCGCGTGCAGGCGGGCTGCGCCGGCCACGGCCCGGGACGGAGCGCTGCTCCTGGTGAGCAGCCGGCCACAACGTGGACCCCACGTGCTCCCTGCAGCCACGTCGCCTCCCGTCCACGAAATGCCACCCCACCGCCCCGCTCCCGCCAGGAGCCCCGAGCCGCAGGAAGCAGAAGTCCCGTCGTCTTAATGCTGTTTAATTCACTGTGGCACACCAGCCACACGCCTGATGCAAACAAAATGGTCGGTGGACACGTCGAACTTGACTCCAGCCAGGGCCCCCCCGCCGCTGGCGGAGAGGGCTGGGGGGTGGGGCCCAGCAGCGTGGCCTGGACTCCAGGGGAGCACGTTTGCCTCGAAACACAGCAACATAGCGCCAGGCCCCGGGACCGGTGCGCAGAGACGACCCACGGGGTGAGCGTCTCGGAGACGCGGCCTTCCTCCCGGACCGCAGCAGAAATAAATCAGCGTGCCCTCCCCGTGAAGGCCGGGGACGCTGCTGCTGGCCACCCTTCGGGGCACGGGAGGGGGTCTGGGGGGCGAGGAGAGGGCTGCGCTAACACCCCACTCTCCTCCCCCCTCCCCGAACACCGTTCCTCCCCGTCAGGGATGCGCAGAGAGCAGATTCTCCTCTCCGCCGGGACCACAGCCGTGTTCGGGGAGAACGACAGAGTGTGTCTCCGGCCCAGGGCCCCAGAACGAGCCTCCATTCCTGACCCCCCGGCCTGCCTCGGCCTCAGCTCCTGCAGGGGCTGCTCCAGCTCCGAGAGCTGCTGTCACTGGCTACCCGTGGGGACAGAACCTGGGGTGCCTCCTTCAGGAAGCCCCCGCAGACGGCCCCAAGGAGGTGCCACCCGGTGGGCTCCCGCCCGCCCGCCACCCTGAGCTGTGACATCTCCTTCTCGGTGTCGCTCCTGCCGAATACACGCGCTGCGCGGGCCCCAGGCCTGCCTTCCAGGAGGGCCAGGGCACGGCCCAGCACCGCTGGGCTCTCCGCATCCAGCCCACAGGGGGGCGGCCTCACGGGGGCGGTGCCGGGGGTTCCGGCCCCACCCTGCTCAAGCAGGGAGATCGCTAAGCAGCTCCCAAAGGGCCCCCCACCAGGTTCGGGGCCACCACATCCACGGGCCGCCTGTCCCTGGCCACCCCCTCCCCTGTGGTGCCCAGGGACAGGCTGGTGCCCAGGCGCGGGGGCACCGGCCCACCTCCGCGGCTGTGTCTCAGAAGAGCAGGGTCAGTGACAGGCAGCAGGAGCTGCCTGGGTGAACGGACAGGGACACGCGGCGCAGAAACCGCCCCCCGCCCTCCCCCTGGGAGGGGGGCATGGACAGAGTTGTTCCCAGAGACGTGTGTCACGAGGAAGAAAGAAACCAGGAGAAACTTAGGAAGTGGGTCGTGGCCCGCGGAGGCAGAGGGGCGGCCCCGGGAAGAAAGGGGGAGCGCCGGAGAGAACTGCAGGAGGGGAAGAGACAGCCGAGACTCGGCGGGCTGACCGCTGGGCACAGGCCAGCCGGCGTCCGCGCTGCAGAACACTAAATCCCGGGGAGCGGTTCCAGGGGCCTGAAAATAGCCCGGGGAGCGGTGGGCCGAAACGCGGCGGCGGGTGGCGAGGCGAGGTCACGGTAGAGCTCGGGGCACGGAGAGCAAAGGTCAGTGGCAGAGGGAGCCCGGGCGCCCGACCCAGAGGGACCGGAAGCTGGGCTGAGCGGGGCCCCACGCCCGGCAGACGCCGCGGCCAAGCCGAGGTCCTCCAACTCGCTGCGGTCGGATCTGTGTGGGACTCGGGAATGAAAGCCTCCCGGAGGGGCCGTGAAAGACCCCGGTGGGGCATCAAATTGGGGACACAGGCTGCACCCGTCCAGAGGGCAGAAAATTCGAGATGAGGCCCGGCTGCGGGCCGGACCATGTGCTCCGTCCCCCCCCACCCCGGACCCCGACACTCACACGGGGGAGCCCCCATGCCCAGGACCCAGAATGTGGCTCTGTCAGGAGGTGGGGTCTCCAAAGGGTGTTGGTTAAAATGAGGTCCCTAGAGCACAGGCGATGAGGGCTCAGACACACCCAGGGGGCAGACCACGAGGAGACGTGGGGAGAAAGTGGCCCCTGCGCGCCCGGGAGAGAGGCCTCAGTCTGGAGAGGCTGCGGACACACCTCGACGTCCGATTTCTGGCCCCCGGAACTGTGGGGACATGAGGGCTTTAGAGCCCCCCACCACTCCGCCGCACTGCTACGGCGGCTCCAGAAACCCAACACAGACCCGAAGTACGAACACCCCGCAGCTACAAGGACCAGCAGCACCCTGAATCTGAAACACCCCCCCGCAACCAGCGACGGTTTCTGCCTGTGTCTGTGCACGGTCCTGCAAAGCACCACCAGGCTTGCAGGAGGAAGACCCTAGCAGGGCCCCCGGGCTGAGAAAGACCAGTGAGCAGTGGAGTGAGGGCGGGGAGTGCCGGATTCTTTGACTTGCCCTCCCTCACGGGGGCGGGGCGGGGGGGGGACACACGGGGCTCTGGCTGGGAACTCGCCCCCAGCCTCCCGCGAGTCCCGGGGCCTTGAAACTTCTCTGGCCTGCGCGTCAACCTTGCCCCTGTGATAGTGAGTGTCATGTGTCAACTTGTCCAGGCTCTGGAGCCGGCCGTGTAATCCAACACCGAGCTGGGGGTTGCTCGGAAGGAATTTCGTGGAAGCGGTTAAGATCTGCAATCGCCTGCCTTTAAACGGAGGCCGCTACCCTCCGCGGCAGCCCGGGGCCTCCTCCGCCGCCCCGGCGCGGGGCCTGCCGAGCGAGACTGAGGTTTTGGGGGAAGGAGGAATGCGGCGCACCGCTGCCCGAGCGCCCCGGCTGCTGGCCAGGCCGATGGGTTTCAGGCTTGCCAGCCCCCGGGCGCAGGAGCCAGTTCCTTACAATAAGTCTCTTTATATAAACACATCCAGGTTCTGCTTCACTGGAGAGCCCGGGCCGATCCGCCCAACCGACGGCCGCGAGGCCCCGGGGCCACGCCGTGACGCCGCCCCGGGGCCTCCCGCCCCCGCTCCCCCGCTCCCCCCCCAGCACGGCGGGTCTGCGGGCTGTGCTCGGACCACCTTCCGGCCCCTTGTCTCCCAACACGCCTTCCACCTTCCACTCCGAACACAGCCCTGCTTTCCCGGGGCTGCTGGCTGTGCCTTCGCCCACATCTCGGAGGGCTGGGGGAGGGGTCAGCGTCCTCCTGGCCCCCCTTTTCCTGCCACGGAGAGCGGCTCCTCCTGGTCCCTTAAGGACCCTCTCCACGCCCCCACCGCCCGCTGTCCCGCCCCCCGGCCTCCGCCGCCTGCCACGTCCCACTCTCTCCCCGCTCCGGGGCCCTGCCTGCCCTCCGGAACCCTGGGCGTGTTCAACGTATGGAAACATGCTGTTATTTCCCCCTGAAGTTTCAAATGGAGCGGGCGTTAGGAATCCCAAAAACATCATTTAAGTATGCCAATTTTATTACCAAAACAGCACCTTTGAAAGCGTTTGCCAGATGAGATTGCTTCTCGGCCAGGAAAATGTACGTCTCCTAAGCCGTGTTGAGTCGTTTCCTTGGGGACAAGTCAGATACGGTAACAGCGCTGGATTAACTCTGGTCTCTAATAAAATGTGTCAAACCCAAAGCCAGCCTCACACCCAGATGAAAGGTGAAAGCTTTTCCCTTAAGATCCGGAACAAGGCAAGGAAGCCTGCTCTGGCCTCTTCTGTGCAACATAGTATCAGAAGTTCTAGCCTCAGAAAGGAGGCAAGATAAAGTAGTAAAAAGTCTCCAAATCGGAAAGGAAGAACTAAATGTATCTTTGTTCACAGATGACAAAATCTTATCTGCAAAAACCGCTAAAAGTTACAACACACACAATTAGAGCTAATAAATACACTCAGCGGAGTTATGTGGCACAAATCAACGGGCCAAAATCAGCTGTGCTTCCAGACGCTAACGGAAAATCTGGAAAGGAAATTTTTTTAAAGCTCCATTTAAGATAGCATCGTGAATAAAATAATTAGAAAAAAAAATTAACCAAGGAGGCAGAAAACTGGAGCGTGCAAAACGACAAGACTATCCAGAGGATAGAAATGGGGAAAGAATCCCGTGTTCGTGGGCTGGGGTACTCAGTACTGGGATGAAAATGCTGCTACTCAGACTGACCTACAGACCCAAACCCCACCGGTGCTGGGTGCGGAAACAAAGCCTTTCTGAAATTCAGGGAACCTCTCATGGGTCCCCACGTGGCCAGGGAGAATCTTGAAAAAAGAACTACCTCTGGAAGTGTGGGTCCTTCAGAAGATTTCCTAAGGTCCTCCAAAGCTACAGTAATGAAGACATACCGACCGGAATAGAACAGAGGGCCCAGAAATAAACCCTCACGTGTATTGATTTTCAACCAGGGTGCCAGCACCAGCCAATGGAAAAAGGACTGTCTTTCAACGCGTGGCCCTGGGAGAACTGGACAGCCACCTGCAGGGGGGTGCAGCGGGACTCTTACCTCGTGCTACCCACGAAAGTCCACCTGGGGGCCCAGGAGGATCCGTGTGAGTTTTAGAAAGGTTTACCCACCTCTGTGCCACCCAGCAGTCGGGGGGG